TCCTGGCGCCTCCGGCCCGGCAGCGTGGAGGAGGGCCTGAGGGTGGCTGTGGGGGTACGCCGGCCCGGGGCAGCCCTGGCATGCTTTTGGCTTTCCCCTTATTCCCTTCCGCGATGTTTTGCTGTCCGTGGGGTGCTGCAGCCTGCTTTTCTCCTCAGAAAGTGGTGGGGGGGCAGAGGCAGCAGCCATGGCAAGGCCGCGGGAGGTTCTGGCTTTGGGGAGGCCTGGCTTGCACCAGGCCTGTGGAGGGTTGCCCTGTGTTGCTCTCGTTTCCCTTTGCTGCCAAGGTTGTTGAAATAATGCGCATCTCTGCCTGCAGGAAAGGGGGAAAGAAATGAGACTGGGAGGAAGAGGACCCCCTCTCCTGTGCCCCCCAAAACCAGCTGAGTGGGACAGCCGGTAAGGCCAGCACCTTGCACCACCGAGTTGCCCATCACATGTCCTGTGGCACGCTGTCAACCCAGTGTGTTTGCACAGGACTGGCAGCATGCATCCCACGTCTGGGAAGTTCCTGGTAGCAGTGCAGTGCCACCGGTCAAGGGTGGCCGGGAGGAAAATCCAGTTTCCTCCTGGAAGTATGTTTGTCCTTGTTGCTCACTGAAAATCATGAGATAGTGGCGGACGGTGGGAAACAGGATTTGGGTTTCATGGGCCTGTGGCTTGCTCCACACACTGGGTTACGTGGCCTTCTTAAAACACATTTCTTGTTTGAGGTTTGACGCAGCACAGGCTATCGGTGTTGGTGTCAAAGCACCACTAGATAAACCTGTTGGGGAAATACCTGCTCCTCCGCGAGAGGGAGGGAAGGATGCCACCTGTAATTCACTTCTCTGCTTTACAGGTTTTGAATAAACAGCCCATCTGTCAGGTTCTTGTAAAGAAAATCTTGGCTTTATATCTAGAGTGTACCAATGCCTTTCCAGGAGGTGTCTATTGCTGTCAAAAGATTCAAGGGCATTACTAGATGCGCTGTTTCTGATTCCTAGGAAAAACTTTTCTCTGTGCCAGGCCTGACAAACAGTGGTATATGTGATGACTGACTGTTGACATCAGCTGGTGTATGTGCTTTGAAAGGTCACACTGTCCGTCAGCCCGATCAGGTGATGCAAAGCATGTAACCAACCTGTTTGTTTCATTCCAGCGAGCTGGGATTGACAAACCATGTAGGAAGATCCTGAAGGAGATCCTGAAGCAGTGACAGACTGTTTGCTCCCGGACTCTGTCCAAGGGGACTGCTTTCGCATCAGTGCTGTTCCCAGGTATGGCACAGAGGTAATAGTGCATCTCTTCCACATGCCTGAAGGTCCAGGGTTGAGCTGAGGTCTTGCTTAACCTCACAAACAAGTCTCTCCATCAGTTTTGGGAGTAGAACTGCTGTAGCCTTGACTTATGCTGCCTTACATGATCAAACTGCACTCTGAAATTGTTGGAGGACTAGAGGGAGCTGATCCAAGGGAAAACTTTTTTTTTTTTTTTTAGAAAGTGATTTGTTTTATCTGAACCTGATCGTCACATGACTGTACATGTTGTTAGCTCTGTCATGGAAATATGAGGAAGGAGGCTGGCACAGGCAGCTGGCAGAGACGGCTGGGATCAGAGCAGCCCATATCAATGACAGCCTTAAGCTGCTGTGGTGCCACACCAGCAACTCCTCTTGCTATAATCTGCACTTGCCCTTGGAGGGATAGGATTGGTTGGGTTTTTGGTGTGGTGGGTTTTTTTTTTGTCAGACCAAGGACTGAAATAGGTAGTTTTGTTCTCTAAAATATTCGTGTACTTAAAAAGTAGCACAAATCATGAAAATAATATTCGAGGAAAGTCTCTCCTTCTCTGTGTTCCTTATGCACAGATCATCTGTGTTTTGGCACATGAAGAGCAATGGAGGAGAAGCTTCCCTCTGAAGTGACTGTTGCAGAGCAGAAGGTTGTGTGCTTTGTTTTGTTTTTAACCTTCCACTCTGTTTTTCCTGGAAACTTTCTGTGAATGCACTGACTTTGCTTGTCCCTCCAAGGCAAGGCAGCTGGTCTCTTCCAGTATCGCAGCCAACATCTCCACTCTGTTCACTAGTGAATCAGCATTCTGCAAAGGTCAGAGGTGCATCTTAGCTACAAGTTTGCTCAACACAGAAGCACCTAAGGAATGGTGTTTTTTAAAAAAAAAAAAAATCTGCATGGGGTATTTACTTCATTTTTCAGTACTAATTCCTTCTAGGGATTTCTTTGGCCCCTGTGGCTCTAAGAGTCCTCACTGACAACACCCCTGAGATAAGAGTGTGTTACCTTCTTCGTTTTATAGAAGAGGAAATAAATGTGAGCATGAAGGGTCCAAAGCCATTGCCTGACCACTGGATCTTGGTTCCACTATCCTATCAGTCTTTACCAAAATAGCAGAATGATACAGCTGCATGGAGGGGGCAGTGCAGATAGCCATAATCTGGCTTTTTTTATTGCATATAAGCAGACAAACAGATGAAGGAAGAAACTTGCACAAGATCTCCTGGAGTCTGTGTGAGAGCTGGGAACTAAAAATGCGTTCCATGAGAAACACACTTGTTCTGTCCACATTTTTTCCATGAAAAGCATCATCTGTTATCTGAGTGAGGGGGAAAAACCGCGATGTCGGCGCACATTTACCCCACTCAATCTCATCATCAATGCTCAGTGGGTGTTTAAGTGAAGTTTCTGCCTGAAAGTCCTTCTGGCATAAGGCCTTTGCAGTAAAGACTGCATCAATTCCTCCTCTATTTGGTGTTGCTAGAGGTGTGGGCTGGAGTACAACAGTGCTCTGCTCAGTCTTTACTGTTTGTGGGGAGTCTCAGCTGCCTCACAAGGGTGACTGAGGTATCGGGTGGAAACAGGGTGTTTGGGACTCTTCTGCATCTTTCCTTGCAGATGTATTTCCCTGAGAGCCCCTCTTACTGACTCGGTGCTAATCATGCTTCGGCCCAAGGATTCCTACTTGCTCTCTCCATTTGTCATTCTGTGAGCTCCTGTCCCACCAAGTTTTTGCCTTTCACTCCTCTCCTGCCCCAGACACTTGTGTGGCTCTGCTTGGAGCTGCTGGACTGGAACACTTTAGTTTCATCCTCTCCAAAAGAGTTGCCCATCCACTGGGGCCCTTGTGGAGCTGGGTGGCACCAGCCCTGTCCTGCTCTCCACCCGTCTGTGTGATCCTGCCCTGTGCAGTGGTGGACTGATGAGGGAGCTCAAGAGAAGGGTGTTGGGATGTGGGGATGCTTCAACCACAGCTTTCCAGAGTGCTGTGCACAGGGTATATAACACAGCTGCCCTAGTGTCTCCACACCAGGAAATCCTTGCCATCCCTGTGAGATTGAGACTACCAAGTTTTAAGATGCTCTTTCCTTCTGCTAGTGAGCATGATGAACTTGTGAACAGACCAGGAGGGATGGGTTTAACTTGTGACTTCTAGAAGCATCAGTGGAAAGGGACCCTGTAGAACATGTTTCCTTTTAAATTGCACGCATAATATACCATGAAGGGAATATACGCCAAAGCTTTCTAGTTTTGGGGCCTGAATATGTACTTCTGGGAAGCCTCTAGGAAAGCCAGATTTGTTGTGGACTCCCCATTATCCTACTTATGGCTGAGGGCTGTTGTCTATGGGTTTTGCTGTTGTTCTTCCTTTACATCTTTAAATTTGCTCGTATTTTCTTAAATGAAGAATGAATATGCTAGAACAGCTTCTCTCAGCTCATAAAGCAGTGCAATAATGACAGATCACTTGTGTTGACTTCTGCTTAGATTTTCATGCTCTGAAAACCCAGCTCAGTTGCATTTGTGTCTCTGCAGTGGGACCATGGAAGGAAAAGAGATGTCGCCAAGTCATCATTCGGAGGAGAGCAGCATATGGGACCTACCCTCTGTTTGTGACCCAGCAGAGTGCTTTCTGCCTCCACAGAGCTCTGAAAACAGCGAGGAGCTTTTTCGTTCTGTGGATACTTTTCCCTCTCTGCCAACAGGTAACAGCTTCTGCCGCTCTACATGCTCTTTATTTAGCCAGCACATTATCTGTTTAGGCAGTGTGTCATTTGGCTGAATAACAGCCATGTGATACTGGTGCATCTGCCTTGTCTTAGAACACAGTTTACCAGAACTACAGTCTGTTCCAGCTTGACAGATACAATGTGAACTGTGGGTCTATGAGACACAGGAGAGGAGTTCAGAGGATACTATCAGCTGCTAATGTTCTGACAACACTGTTTCTTCATGTTTAGTGTGTTCTCAGAGGAAGAGAGTTACTTGAACTAACCCACAGAGCAATCCTCCGGGCATCAGTAGGAAATACTGTCTCAAATTACCATAGGCAGTAAGAAATGTTTTTAAACTTTTCCTTATGTTCTTCACGTGCTTATCATGTATCTTCCACTCATGAGCTCAGGATGTGGCTAGGAAGCATTCTGATTACTATACCACTCAGCCCAGTCAGTGTGAATATATGGCAAGAAGTGTGAAATCGAAATGCACTGGCCCAGTGACACTTCTTGCCATATATTCATACTGGCTGGGCTGAAGGTTGTAGTAATTATATTTACTATTGGGGGGGGGAAATAAAATCTGATCAGCAAATAATGTGTGGAGATCGTGTGTCAAGGCACCTGAGCAGGTGGAACGTCACTGATTTCTGGTTGCTTTGGAGTCTTAAGTAGTGTAAAAGTAGAGTTTAGCGCCTCTTCTTCCTCTGGCACTGCGTGGTTTACTTTGGCCTAGTTCCAAGAAGTTGGCTTGGAATTAAACATGAGTTTTTTCAGTGGGAATTCCACTATTTTGCATGCTAAACAGGTAAGCAGCGGGATCTACCAAACTATAATCTAGCTCTGTTGATGTTGACTACTTGCCTGCGCAGTTGTCTTCACCTCTAATTGTGGGACATAGGAACTGTAATGAAATCTGTAAACAGTAGATACCAATCGTTGCTTTGATTTTTCTATGCAGACCCAGGAAGTCACGTGTCTTATGTTACTAATAATGCAAATCTTCTGCTGTAACCTCTACTTTAAACCGTGATCCATATCACATTCCATAATCCATATTGCATTAGAGGAATAGTGTTATCTGGTTTGAGGTTTTGCTTTATTTTTTGTGCATAAGAGCAGTGACCACCACTATGAGGAATGTCACGAGCAAGCCTTTTCCGCTGTCATGGGAGAGGAGGATGGGGAAGTTCCTCTAACAGTGAGACAGGCTGGAAGGCATTTGTCTACTCAGATTTCACAAGCCCTGTGTCACAGGTATGAAGAAATTCTGGGAGCTGTGAGGCAGTTCCTGCAATGTTTGTAGGGCGGCTTAGCTGCTCAGACACCATTTAGTGTGGCTCGGGGCAACTGGACTTGATTGCTGTGATGAACGGGATGCACAGAAGAACAGCAGTCCTAAGACTGGTCTGAGGCATAGCGGCAGTGACATATGCAGAAATGAAGATAGGCAGCTGTAAACCCAAATGATAGCATTGGGCAAGTCGTTTACAGTGCATGTATGGAATATGTAGCTGAAGCTCAGTACCAAGGTATGCTGAGAGGCCAGATCCTGCCTCCTTGCTGTCTCCAACACCCCCTGGTGTCAGCGGGGATTCCAGGTATGCTGAGGAGGGCAGATCATGTCTATGAACCCTCTCTTTCATTGCTTGTTTTAGACACCCCTCACAACTGAAACCACTTGGTTTCAACTGAAACAACAGTGGGATGCGTGCTCTAAAATGGTTCCTTACCCTGTGCTCCTGGGAGTGAAATAACCAAGTATCACATTGCACTGAGTTCATGCTCTGAACATCTTGGTTCCTTTCTCCTTATAACAGCATCAAACCAATATACATACTCACTTAAACTCTCTTTCTTTTTTGATGCAACTTCAGCTTTCTAAGCCATTGAGTTTGGTCAGTGTGGCAGAAGAGGCAGGAGGACGGTTTTAAAAATAGTCTGCCTGCGTCAGATGTTCTTGGACAAGCAAGTTCTGTCAAACTTATCTAGGGAAAGGAAGCTCCTTTGCTTGTTTGTTTTCTCATGAGACATTGTAAACTGCTGCTGTGACACAAGATAAATTAGGAGAGTGGGGATGGCTATAACTTGTACCCTACAGTATGACCAGAAGATTGTGTCCTGGGGCTTGGGCAGGATGGATGATGGGTCTTCTCATCAAACTTGAAAGATTTTTATTAGGGGCAGGGATCTTCCTTAGTGATTCAAAAGCATTTCCAAAAGACTGTTAGGTCTCTGGGAATGTGACAGCTTCCTTAGCAAAGAAGCAGACTGACAGCACAGGCTGTGTTTTCTGACATCTGTCACATGAACTGGACTGAGACTGAAATATCATGCCATCCCAGCCTCAGGAGTTGGATATGGAGGTATTCCTAGTGCCTGAGCCACTAGTAATAGAATAGGTCTTACTAGTCTAGAGAGGCTCCATCACTTGTAATAGCAGAAGATAGTACTCATTAGCCATGAAAACAGGGCCTTCTGAAAGCAGGCATCCCTAGGCAAGAAAACGGCAGTCCTGTGGGAATACTACTACATGTCTAAGTTGTGTATAAATGAGTGGTTTTACGATTTGTATGGGAGTGAGGGTTCTGCTCTTGCAAAAAACATGCATACTTTTAGTTTATTGTCATAGTGAGTTCAAGTGTCTAAGTGATAATAGACTGAGAAAATTAAATTGGATCAGTGAACCTTTCAGTATGCTTCCTTTTTTTTTTTACCCCATATTGGAAAATAAGAAAAAGAATAATTAATTGTTTATAGTGTTTCTAATCTGCATCACTCAGTTGCACGATGCTGCAGCAACACTTTACTACTTCCTCTGGATTAAGAAAAGTTGCCAGCAAAATTTCTTACTTGGCAGCACTCAGGTGTGTGTGTGGGGAAGCCTTAAATTATTTGGATTAGTATTTGAAAGGCAGCTAATAAAGTTTGTTTACAATGAAATAACTCCCTGGCAATGTTTCTTTTTTTTTGTAGGGCGCTGAACCAGAGCATATCAGGGACAGTGGAAACGTAGTCTTTGCCTGGAAAAAATGCAGCCTAAAAAAGGGTTAGAGAATAGACTACGGATGTGGTGCAGGCAGGGTCCTGGGCTCTGCCCATGGTGCGTGGTCTGACAGAGCTGGGTTTGTCAGCGCAGCCCTGGAGTGATGCTACCAAGCTTGGCGGCAGCGTTTGAGAGCTCAGCCGTGGCACCATGCTTGGGAGACTGCCTGTCTGAAGCATGGGCAGAGCTCAGCCCCATCTGCCTGCATGGCCCTTCCCGGGGGCTGGCGATCTTGGGGGGATGGGTCTCCTTGTTTGTCCTGTAGCTTCTCCCTTAATCGCTTTTTCTTTGTAATGAAAAGTAGTTAAAAAGCTGTGTCCTTAGGAGAATGGATGGGTAGACAGGGTCATCCAGTGGAAGGGGAAGGTACACGGAAAATGTCACAGGAACAGAGAAAAGGAAGGATGACAGTAGGAGGGAAAGGATGATGCTGGAGAGTTGGGGTGGAGCAGGAAGACAGAGTTCACTGTGTGATTGGAGAGGCCTGTGTGTATCTAAAAGCTGGCTAGCTTTTTAAAAAAAAACAATAATAAAAACCAATTTGGGGATGTTCAACATTTAGTTGCCTCTCCAAAAAGCACTACTTCCGTTCCTGCAATTTGCTTCAGGTTTGAGCCCAGGCTTACCTTTGGTTATTTTCCATGGACTGACCTGACTTCTCTAACACAGCGAGAGTCCCAGGCTGCCCCTGACCGTGCTTCTTATTCCTGCTCCATCCTTAGCGCTGGTACTCAGGCGGCCACATGAGGAGTCGGCTCAGGGAATTGACCCAGCTTGCTGGGCAGTCACGAGAATATTTGTGTGGAGGAGATGGGGACAGCTGCTCTTTCTGGCAGCAGCGCAGGTATATGCCAAGATACAGCGGTCTGCAATGTGTCCTGTCTTTCATATGGGGTTACAGTCCTTCCAGAATGGTGGCTTCTGGAAAAAGTAATGTTAGAGTATTAATTGCTTTTCCGATGCGGGGACCCAGGCTGTAGGTTCCTTTTGATCAATCATGTTTTTTGTAGGCTTCCTTCAAAAATAGTCTGTTTGGAAGAAGTTGTGAGAGCTTGGGGGAGATGGAGCAGAACCATTTCACTGGAGACTCACTGGCTCCAGGCAAATCAGTCAGTCTGGGCCACAGCACTGCTGCTGAAATTGCTACTAACATCAAGAGGACACCTGATCACAAGATTATCCCAGTTTAAAAATAAAAGCCGTCATGATTTTTGGACTGTTCCAGTTGCTTTCTGGGTTTTCAATCAACCAAGCATGTGTGTTAAACAAAGCAGGGATATCCAACCTGTTAACACAGCTCTCAGTTCTATAAGTGATTGCGATTTCTCTGAAAAAAATGCTACACATACCTAGTGAATTTACATGCTTAGTTTTGCAGTGGGTTGTTATGTCTTTTATTAGCAACTGAGGAGTCATGCTAATGTTGGTGCATGTTTTCTGACTTGTCCTTAAATGCTCTCTCCTGTTTACCATGTCCACTTGCCTGTCAAGAGTTGCTTAATCTCTTTTGCAGAAGTGGGTTGTGTTTACTGAAGAAGTCTGGCATGGTTTGTGCTTTTTCTGTATGGGAGTTGTGCACAAGTGCTGATGCAGATGCTGAAAATGAAAGGAGCAGGCTGTATTTGTCATGTCAGCAGCAACCTTTCAGGGCTGGCACTTGATGGATGCTTGAAGGTTCAGTTCAGCCCAGAACTTACTGTATTCGTTCATTACTTGGTATAGAAATTATAGCTTGGCCGTCTCAGCTACAACTGTTATCAAAAGCAGCAGAATTTCCAAAATGCTTTTTGTCTGGCCATGCTGAAGACAACCTGAAGGCTAAAGACCTTTATATATATTCTCATTTAAGTAGTCTATGTTAACTTTGTAAATCCAAAACACGTGATATTTTAAATCACTTTCAGACTGAGCCAAAGCTGAGCTAAGAAGGACTTGTACTTGCACTCCTGGCTGTAGTGGTTAGATACAGAAACTTCTGATAGTCTCCCTTTACGAAAAAGTTATAGATTGCCCAAAGAAAATCTTACTTTTTGGCTTGATGTGGAGATGAAGCAGGGGGTGCTGTACAAAGGTACTTTGTGCTGTTATGAAGAGTCTCCTCTGACTGCAGGAAGTTAACATGCTCTCCCACTTGCAAACTTTCTTCAGTTTGAACTGTGATCCCACACACCATCGGAATTAATGGGGGTTTTTTAGGTAGATGACCCGTGCATAACTGCCTTGGCCTTGCTGAAGATCACGGCCCCTATTTTGGGAATTACTGGCTTTTTATTGGTTTTTGTTTGTTTCCTGCTGCCCTCTAGTGAGTAATGTTACTCGTTTCTGATGCTACCAACCTTGCATGCTTGGAACTTAGAGGGCTAGTGATTTTTTTTTTTTTTTTTTTCAGCTGGTGGTGGGGTTGTATGTCACTGTACCAAGCTCAATCCTGTGTCAGTTTAATGCTGTTGAGAAATGATGCTAAACAATCCCAAAGGCTGATGTGGGAATACTTCTCAGGAGTGTTGGTTGCACGTTGTTTACTGCGTGGATCTTGGCATAAGGTGGCTAATATTGTCTGTTGGTAAAGTATTTGTTTTTGTCTGGGAATAGCCTTCCTACTTCTGTCTGTTACAATTACAGCCCTGCTGGGATCTGATTTTGTTATGTAAATGAAGGGTCTTTAAAGATTGGTTATAGTATGCTTTTTTTGGGTGCAACTGTCATTTTTTTTAGCCTTTCCAAAAGTTCTGTTTTTAGCAACTTTCTCTTTTATCCCTGATACTGGTATAAACATCCAGTTATTTGTAAAGGCAGGTGATTTTTTTTGACTTATCAAAAGCAAAGAAGCACCTATTTTCAAGTGAATGTGTATTTTTTTTAATGATGATTTCTAACCAAGCACACTCTCAAATATAATCAAAATACTAGATTTTTCTTAATACTCTAGTCTTCTCAAGAGGAAAAAAAAAGGTGAAATGTTTAAAATCCTAATAATTTTGTATAGATGTTGTGATCCAGTGGGGCAGTTGCTCAATGGACTTGAATTTATGCAGCTCCACTGAAGTCATGGGCAGGCCCTTGGGTCAGGTAACTACATAGCTCTGGTGAGTTTGGCAGCATTAACTTTCCAAGCATCTCCTTCTGGCCCAGTTGTGTTGAATAAAGTTGCAAAGTGGAATTCATGCTACCTTACTGTTGTGGTTTAACCTCAGCTGGCAACTGAGCACCACGTAGCCGCTCACTCACTCTCTCCCGCCCAGTGGGATGGGGAAAAGAATCAGAAGAGTAGAAGTGAGAAAACTTATGGGTTGAGATAAGAATAGTTTAATAATTGAAATAAAAATAATAATAATAGTAATAATAATAATAATAGAATATACAAAGCAAGTGATGCACAATGCAGTTGCTCACTACCTGCCGACCGATGCCCAGTCAGTCCCCGAGCAGAACTCCTCAGCCAGCTTTCCCCCAGTTTATATACTGAGCATGACATCACATGGTGTGGAATGTCCCTTTGGCCAGTTTGGGTCAGCTGCCCTGGCTGTGCCCCCTGCCAGCTTCTTGTGCACCTCC